ATTGCTATGAAAATTAATGTCTTTTATCATCTTAAAGCGATTTAACGCCAAATATTACTATATCTCTAAGAGTGTTATCTTTCATTCTTCTTAGAAGATGTGATATTAAAAAAATTATCTTCCAAATTCGTATCTTTTATCTTAACGAGACTCGATGTTAAATTATATAATAAAATATCGCTAAAATTCTAAGAAAATTGTTTCACGTTTTATTGAGAAGATTTAATATTATCAAAATAATTGTAAATTGTTCTCCATTGAGATTAATATCCTTCATCTTTTTGAATCATAAAATTATAACTATTTTCGAATTAAAATTTTCTTTCTAGGCACGAATACGACAGAACCGTGGTCGATCTTTCATGGATTGTCCTATCTTAAAAACAAATCGATTTGCGACTCGTGTCGTTGCACCATTGACAAACGCTACAGAAAGATTCTACGAAAGTAATAACGTGCAAGATTCACGGTCACCTTACGGGTGGAAGAAACGGGTAGGAATAAAACGAAGATGGCCCTCGATTTTTTCGCTGGATGTCTTGGAGGTAGATAATTCACATTGGTTTAACGTTTCATAAAAGATAAGATAATTATATACATCACGTATATTATATTGAAGACTGCAACAAAGTTCATAATTTTTTAATATTATCGACAGATATCGAGACGTGGAATTCAAGTAGAAAGAAAGATGCCATTTTGAAAATTAAACTCAATCTATTCTTTCTTCGATTTCTTTTATTGCATCCGCCTATCATAATATTGTTAAAAGATGGGATATTAAAAGATTTATTTTCTTCTCTAAAAAATGAAAAAAATTTATACTTATTCGCGTCTATTGTCTACATTTTCTCCAATCAATAACAATGTGTTATCGCGAAGAAAGTGACCATAATTGATTGACAACTTTCTACTTGGATTGAATATTATCTGAGTAGAGAGAAATAATTGCTTTGTTTCCGTGAAACTTTTATCAATAGATAACGCCGATGATTTATAAAACACACGAATCAAAATGGAATATATCTATTTTTAAATTTTCTTTCTTCTATAATTGATGCAATGCAAAAATATTTGTTGTTTATCTTTGTGAAATATGTAAAATCTTCGTATATAGACAATATAATATTCGGATAATTTTTTCAGGATGCGCTGGTACTTTGGTGGGATATCCTTTCGACACCATCAAAGTTCACTTGCAAACGCAAGACCATCGGAACCCGAAATACAAAGGCAATTGGGATTGCTTGCGAAAGATACTCAAGCATGAATCGGTATTTGATAAATAAAAATCAAGGAAATTAATAATCAGATGCATGTTAACGATTTGAAATGAAGCAAAAGTTGTTGATTACAAACGTAGTTAATGATTGTTTAAGATTGTAATTGATATTAGTATAGTATATTTAATTATCAAATGAAAGGAGAAGAGGAAGTACAGAAATATAGAAGAATTCCTTCTTTCTTCCAACATATTTTTTCACAGTTTGAATTAGTAATTCGAAAAAATATTTTATTCATAAATGCAGAGCCTAATCATCATTTTTCTATATTACAAAATTTATCTTTTTTTTTTTATTAAAAATCATATTCAATCAAAAATCTCATTAATTTCAAATCATCGTTTCAAATTATTATTTCTCTTCTATCGCAATAAATATCACAGTCACAAATACTACATTCACAGTTCTAAACCAAAACTCTCATTAATTTCAAAAATATTTCTCTACCATCGCTAAATACCAATTAAAATCAAATCTCAATTAATACGTTTAATTGTCTCAGATAGCAGGTCTCTATCGGGGCATGTCATCCCCAATAATCGGCGTGTCATTGATAAACGCCGTGATCTTCGGCGTGTACGGTGAAACCCAGAGACACATACCGGACCCAAACTCTCTGACATCCTGTTTTATCTCCGGTGCCATAGCTGGCTTCGCTCAAAGCCCCATCTGCAGTCTCATCGAGTTAGCGAAAACTCGCATGCAGCTTAGTTCTTCGACTGGTCGACCTTTCAAAGGACCGATGCAATTTTACTTGCACACGTACAGACACGAAAGATTGCGAGGTCTATTCAAGGGACTTGGTTGCACATTTATGAGAGAAATTCCAAGCTTTGGTCTATATTTTCTCACATACGAAGCTCTAATGAGAAATCTCGATAACAAACCTGTTCCGACAATTTATATCCTGTTGGCTGGAGGATTAGCCGGCACCTGTTCTTGGGTCACAACTTATCCAATTGACGTGATCAAGTCACGAATACAAGCTAACGGAAATCTTTATGCAGGAATGTACGACTGCCTAAGACAATCCGTGAGGAAGGAAGGTTACACGTTCTTGTACAAAGGTATCAGCTCGACGGTGTTACGTGCGTTTCCTATGAATGCTGTCACATTTACTGTGGTCAATTGGACGTTCAAATTGTTTGGCGAAGATGAGAAGAAGAAGTCGAAAACGACAGAGTCTATTGGTGAGATTTCAGAACCGTGCGAAATACTTTTGGAAAAATGGAACAGTTTCCTAACGAGCGCATCCCGAAGTATGGTTATTCATAGGTTACCGTATTCCACGTTGTCGTTGACATCGATGAACGAATCGAAGCTTGAGTGGGGTGTATACAACAACAGGCGAATGAAAGATGGTGGTAAGAGCGGGGAACGGGGGGATAGAGGTAATAAAGAGCGGGAAATTGAGAAACCGAAGATGTCCAGAGAAAGATATCCGGAGAAGTGTGACGAGAAGAGAAGTTAAAAGTTTAAAGTTATACTCGTCTCGATATATCTTCCATATGTTGATCTATATGCTTATCTTATATGTAATCGAGTTATCGAAGAAAGCTTGGTAAAACAGGGTTTCAATGGCTCTTGTGTGAGGAATTTTGAAATTTTTGTATTTCTCGAAAAATGGTTCTTTCAAAAAGAAAGAAAAGAGAAGGAAAACGGAATTGTAGTGATAGTACATTGTTAGTTTTTAAGGGATCGAACAGTGATGTGTAATTGGATTGAAAGTGACTTGATATAAGATTTATATAGTGTTTTATTACAGGAGATTATGACGGTTCCATGGTTATCATCTTTTCTATTAATGTTACTTGCTGAAACTATTTATGGACTCTACTGGATCGAAATGTTATATAAGAATTTAATTTTAATATATCTTTTTAATATATTTATATAATATTTTTATAATATATTTAACTTTTATCGTCAAATAAGTATTGACGAATATAAGATTTGTAGAATTTTGTAGAAGATTGATAATCTGTGAATTATTATTACACTGTAGATGAATAAAATTTAGTTATTATATATTATATAACGAGTTTTATTCAATTTATTTCGAAATTGTCTTACAATCAAATAATTCAGAGGCTCTAATATAATAATTTATCAACTAATGGTAACTTGCGAATTATAGGTTATAGAACATTTTTTTATAATTTTTATATTATAATTTTTAGAATTTTACTGTTGTACAAGAAATTTTATCAATAATAATAACTTGTTATCTTATCGTACGATTGCTCATGACAAACATATAATCATTTAAATGATTATTAATTACAAATTACTTTCTTCATATTTATATATATATCTCAATATATATTTTCAGAATATCCCTAATTAAATAATCAACGTATGATTAAAATTTCTATTACCCACTTTTGTTTAAATTTAATTTCTAATAATCATAAAATTATTCTCTTTCATCCTTGCTTAACAATATAATGTTCGATCGATTGTATAAAAGCCAATTCACAATTCCAACCCTCGTCACAATAAAAACTGTCATGAATCTTGCTATCGAAGTGCTCATTTGTCAGAAGACAGTCCTAGACTGAACGGCGGACATGTAAGACCTATGTCACAGCCAGAGGCGACATTTACTCTCTTTTAAAATCACACAAAATAGTTTGTATCTGACTGCCACCCATCTACTCCTCTCCACTCCGCATCGTTTTCCTTCTTTTTAAATCTCCATCGTACAATTTCCGGTCTTCAAGTCCGTCCGTCCACGTGTCATAATCATTTTTGACACATACGAAATTGAAACGCGTATAAGTATCAATCAAACCACCTTCCCCCACATCGATCGTGCGTATCATACTCGACTCATCGTGTGGTATCAATAATATTCGGGGTACGTAGTATCGTCAAGATAAAAATTTCGTAAAAATTACGGCGTCCAATTGATCAAAAGCATTGACAAGCGCGGGAAACTCTAACCTCTTGGACGATTTGAAAATTAACGAAGTCGCAAGTATTCTTTGTTCCACAGGTATGATTGTGATTTATTAATTAATCAGGATTAAATATTACAAAAAATATTCGATAATATCAACAATGAAAACGATGAAAAAATAACTTTTAAAAAATAAAGAATTAACTATTTTGTTAGATAATTTCTATATTACATGTTAGTGATAATAATTAGTTAGTAATTACTAACTACTTACATAAAAATGATGAAATTAAAAAATAGTATTTTGTGTTTTTTTCTTATTACGATTATTTTCTTTATATTTTTTTTTATAAGTTATAAAATTAATACAATTTAATTCAATTCTCAAAAATGATCGCCATTCTTATAAAGTTATATTATTTGAAATAATTCGATGGAATTTATTATAATATTATAATATTGAATGGAATAATGACAACTAAACGATGGAAACTGTTAATTGTTAAAATAAAAGATGTGTTTAGAAAATTTTCAAGCATCATATAAACGGAATCGAGCAACGTGTATCTCCACCTTTGTCATCGCGGATCCTCGACAAGATTCGTACCCGAATTTGGAGAAAATTTGATATGGATGTAGACTCAAACGAAAACAGCAGGGATATCGATCTATGCGAAACGAACACTCAACGATTGATTGCCGAAAGTGGTGGCCGATGTATGAGCACACAAGCTATGCAATCGCTTTATGATTTCCGACAGAACAATCTTCTTTGCGACGCTGTCTTGAGACTCGAGGATGGAGGCGTATTTCCGATTCACCGGGCCATTTTATCAGCTTGCAGTCCATATTTTAGGTCTTGTCTAGTATGAGTTCAAGTTATCTATGCTTTAACATTTTCTCTTTATGAAAACTTTTATTAAAACTCTTTATTATAAATACTTAAACAAAAGTCTGAAAATGTGAAAAATATAAAATTATAAAATATAAAATATAAAATATAAAAATATAAAAAATATAAAATTATATATATTTTTTTTTACTTACTTTATATTTTATGTCCTTTTATCTTTTATATCTTTATATTCTTTAAAATATTCTATATCCTTAAAAATCTGAAATAAAATTTCATCTTTAATAGATTTTAAAGATTAATAATTGAAAATTTGTATACTGAATATTTATGTATTTATATAATATGTATTTGTATACTGAATAACTGAAAAATTTATTTGCTTCTTTTTTCTGTTTTTTTGTTATTCTTCAATTATAAAAGATTAAACAAATTTTAGTTTCAATTAAAAATATAATTAGCGAGCAATAATATGATTGCATTTTTATGCCACATTCTTCCTCCAATAATTCTATTATCTTTGTTATTATTATTTTTTACAACTCGAATATTAATCGTTTATAGAACTCTATTTACAACTACATTACATTCGCGCGAAAAAACGGATGTTCTCTTGCCCGGTGTCAGCAGCAACATGATGAATCTGCTCCTCGAATACGCTTACTTGAGATCGATCAATGTGAACAATGAAAACGTGTGCCAGTTGCTGGTCACTGCCGATTACTTGAATATTCTAGGTGTTCTCGATTTCTGCTGCGAATATTTGAAACAGAATCTGGCGCCTGAAAATTGTATCAGTATCATGAGATTCGCCCGGGAACACTTTTGCAAGGGATTGGAGAATAGCGCGTATCGCTATGTCATGAGACATTTTGTGCAGGTTATTATTCTTTCTCGACATTTACTTTTTAATATCTTTAAATAACACTTATATTACTTTTTTGAAATTAGATTAGATCGCACATGTCCATTTGCACTTCTTTATAAAAATATTAAATACATAAACGATAATATATAGAATTTATCTAATTGATATTCTCTTTATTACTAAAAATAACACAATTCCCTGTAAATTTTCTCGTAAGAAAAATATATGACGTCACAATATCCCCACTGCTAGATTAAGCAAAGACACATCACGTGACACGATGCGACATATTGGTTTAGTAGAAACCTCGTCACGTGACATAAAATAGTAACGAAAATAATATAATATAATTCTATTCATATTATTGTCATAATTCGACGAAGATGAATTAAATGATTAACTTTTGTGATAGCCATGGTATCTTCTATACTATCTATATAAAAGAATTATCAACATGAAATTATACATTCAAATAATTCGAAATCAAATAACTTCTTTTCCGTTATAATAAAAAATAGTAAAAATAATTACAATACAAAATACATTGATATAATTAATACAGGTAGCTCAACGGAGCGAGGAAATTCTCGACTTGCCGATCGAAGAGTTGACGACTTTAATCGGAGCCGACGAGCTGAACGTGAAAAGCGAGGATACTGTTTGGGACCTGGTGTTGAAATGGATTGATTACGATTCTCAATCGCGGAAGGATTATATCGTAGATCTGATGAAAAATATTAGGCTCGGCTTGTTGGACACGCAGTTTTTTCTTGAGAATGTGAAGGATCATCCGTATGTTACCGGGAACGAAGCATGCCGACCGATCATAATCGAAACCCTGAAATTCTTGTACGATTTGGAAATTATCACGCAAAAAGACGGAGAGGTACCGACGCCGAAAATAGCACGTCCGAGGGTACCCCATGAAATACTGTTCGCTATAGGTGGATGGAGTGGCAGAAGTCCTACAAATTTCATAGAAACCTACGACACCAGGGCGGATCGATGGGTCAAGGTGAGTGTTAAATGGAATGATATTAGAATGATATAGATTGTAATTTATCTGTTAGTTTTTTTTTTTTTAAGTAATTTTAAAAGTAACTGTTTGGAATTAGAGTCTCATTTCTCGTTAATTTTGATACCTTTAAAATCTTGATACTGAACAATTATTTATCTTATAAATATTTGGTCTAACCTTATTTTAATCTTATATTTTAAATCTAATCTAATTAAATCTAATTAATCATTTAACTTAAATCTATTTAATCTACTTAAACTTAAACCAAATATAATCCTAATATATATTTTTGCGTATATTTCGAAAATTAATAATGATTTTAATAATATAACCTTGAAATCGATCAATCTAATCTCTATTCTGAATAATTATCATTTGTTTAAATAAATGTTATTGCGTTTCATTGAAAGTTTCATAACAAAGTTATTAATGTTATTAATCGAGAAAATCTATACATTAATATAAATAATTGAAAATCAAAGGTGGAAGAAGTAGATCCGATCGGACCTCGCGCGTATCACGGAACTGCGGTGGTCGGTTTTAACATTTACGTGATCGGTGGCTTCGACGGTGCTGATTATTTTAATAGTTGTCGTTGCTTCAACGCTGTTACTAAAGTGTGGAGAGAAGTTGCTCCAATGAACGCTAGAAGGTTAAAAAAAATATAGATAATGCCTATCTCTTATTTCTTTTTATTTAAATATCCATCTTCTCATTTAAATTTTTATAAACATTAAAATTGAATAATAAATTTTCTTGCAATTTATTAATACTCTATAAAACATTAAATGTTTTCAAAATGTTATTTTCAAAATTCAAAGTTATTAATAGAACGTTTCGGTATCGATTTCTACACGATAAATATTTTTCTGATTATTTGAAATTGTAGGTGTTATGTTAGCGTTGCTGTACTCAACGATTTGATTTATGCAATGGGAGGATACGACGGATATTATCGGCAAAACACCGCAGAACGTTATAACTATAAGACGAACCAATGGTCTTTGATTGCACCCATGAATTGTCAAAGATCTGATGCCAGTGCGACTACTTTAAATGGTAATTCTGATAAAATATATTTTGTTACATTATGAATTATATATATGAATTTTCTTTTATTCAATTCTTGCTTAATGTTTTGCAGAAATTATAATTATTTTTTTATAACATAGATAAAATTTATATCACGGGTGGATTCAATGGACATGAATGTTTAAATTCAGCAGAGGTGTACGATCCAGAAACTAATCAATGGACTATTATAGCTCCAATGAGATCGCGTAGAAGTGGAGTATCCTGTATAGCTTATCACAATCATGTATACGTTATTGGTAATTATTCAAAAATTAAATATTATTTAACTAATATATTTTGAAATCAAAAATCTTATAATTATTTTGCATAATCTCATTCTGTAAAAAAATTTGTATCTTATGAAGGAGGCTTCAATGGTATATCAAGAATGTGTAGTGGTGAAAAATACAACCCTGCAACGGATGTTTGGACACCGATCCCGGATATGTACAATTCACGCAGCAATTTCGCAATCGAGGTGATCGACGACATGATTTTTGCCATTGGTGGATTCAACGGTGTTACCACGATATATCACGTCGAGTGTTACGATGAGAAAACGAACGAATGGTAAAATTTTTAAATTCTCTTAATTTTATTTTTTTTTTTTTATATTTTCACAAACGAAATAATATAAACGAATAAATTTTTTTTATATATCATATATCATATAAATTTTTACTAACAAATAAAATTTTTATTTTTCATAATAATATTTGAGTTATTAAATTATTTTATATAAATTTATAATATAAGACTAAAAAAAAAAAAAGAATTAAAACTCCAAAACTCTGCTATGTCTCAAAAATTAATTTTACAACAATTATTTTTTATATACATCATCTGAAAAATCAAGAATAAATTTCTTTTTATTACTAGAAAATTATGTAATTTTGATTTTTTCATTCTACATACATATATCCAAATCTATTCAATTTCATGCTTTTTACAGGTACGAAGCAACGGATATGAACGTGTATCGTTCCGCGCTGTCAGCCTGCGTAATCATGGGTTTGCCAAATGTAAACGATTACATTCATAAGCATCGTGAACGTCTTATGGAGGAAAAGCGGCAGAAACTGTTAGCACTGGAAGTACACCGCAGTCAACATCAACCTCAACAAGATCAAATGCAGCAAAATAGTGAAAATTCGCAATTAAGCAACGAACTGCCTATACCACCACCACCTCAGATGCCTCAGAATATGAATACTAATAATGAGAATCGACAAAATTGAAAAAAATATTTTGAAAATATTATGTCGAGACTATCGGTTTTAGAGTCAGACGGACGGACGGTAATTAGGAGCAATAGAATGATGAATGTTCAAAGATATTAATTGCCCTACGGTTATGTTGAAAGAAAATAGCGAAAAAAGTTAATGGCAAGTATATTTTCATGTGTCTTATATTTTAGATTCATTAATGAATGCTTAAGGTGTAACAGTAACTCAACAAATGATAGTAAGATTATCTCTAAATTTATAAAATTTATAATATTTTTTGAAAACAATGATAAAGAATAAGTAAAAGTAAAAGTTAAAAGTATAATTCTAAATTATTTGTAAATTCTATTTTATAATAGATTTATAAAATTAGGAAGTAAAAAATAAAAAATTTTTTCGTTATTAATTCATAAATATTTTTTTTTATTGTTAAAAATATTTTTCTTTCAATATAACCGTAGTTTATTTTCAAGTTTCGAATCATAAAATAAATCGTCAGAGATAAAAAAATGTAATGACGATAAAGAGATTAATGCAGAGTTAAATATCCTGTTGTCAACAATTATAATGAGAGATGATTTTTGAAACGAAATTTGAGAATCATATTGGAATAAGAATGTGATTTGTTGAAACAGGATAATATTTTCGGATTCGTGTTTACCGGAATTTTATTAATCGGAACACGTTTTATTTTTATACAAGACATGTTTCTATTGGCTGTTTTTGTGATACAATTTTGTACGAAGTTTATTGGAAGATTTTATACATATAAATGAATTTTGAGAGTCGATTGTAATAAAGAAGAGAATGAAAGAATGATTTTTGACATAAACATGTTATTGACACTAATGTTGACAAAAACTGCTGAAATGGAACTTTACAATGATCAATAAAAAAAGTATTGGTAAATTACATAGTTTTGGTTTTCTGTCAATATAATATCTAATTACATATAAATGTGAATAATTTCAATACGTTTAAATAATATGACCATCAAAACGAAATTAATTTATGATCTCGATAAAATAATATAGACAAAGAGAGCAAATAGTAAGAGAAGGACAAAAATAGAGTAAAAATTTCGAAATCAGCGCCATCTTTAGTGTGCCGCAAATGAAACAATATAAACAAGGACAACAAATAATAAGAAAAAGATAGAAATAGGATAAGAATTGATTATTAGCGCCATCTCTTGAATATTTTATTTTGTTTTTAAAAAGATATATATTTTTGACATTCAAAAGATGGCGTTGACACTTCAATTTTTATCCTATGTCTATCCTTTTTTCATTATTGTTCTTTTTGCTTCTTTCCTTTTTTTTATTTTCCTTACTCTTAGTGCTTAACCATATGTAAAGCACGATATCAATTCAACACATTATTTTAATATATAATAATTATAGAGTTTATATTATTTTATAAACTTCTAGTTTTTCTATTTTTATTATTATATTTTATAATTTATAAATTTTCATAATTTAATTTTAAACATGTCATTAAATAATACATTTATCTTGCATAATCCTGTACTTCATCTATAATTCTTATATATATATATATATATATATAATGATTTATGATTCATGTAATAATTTTATTTATTATTATAATGAAAAATTTTATAAAGCCTATCTAAATATAATATTTGAATTGAACATATTTATTAGATATATTTCAAATTAAATAAACTAGAATAATTAAAACTATATCTAGGAATTTTTATTCTTTTATTGGTCAACATGAATTGTGATACGTATATTTGTTAAAAGGTAAGAATAAGTTGGACTGATAACGGATAAGTATAATCGCGAAGTAGCCGTCAAATGTATAATTATTGTTGGCGATAAATTCGATATTTTGTAAATTATACAAAACAGTGTCAGAATGGTGAAGTAAAATTATAAATAGAAAATGGCGAAAATTGTGAAAGGATTGGAATCGTTATCTACAGTTTTAATATGTGAATATTGCGCTAACCTTTCGTTCAAACAAATAGAAGATTTTATAAGGTGAATCCATCTATCTATTTGTAATAAAAAATATTGTAAAAATATCTTAGATAATTTTTTACTACTTTTCACAGATCATTTTAAATTTTCTATATATCTTATACAAAATTCGTTCATGCTTTTGTTATCGAATATAATAAATTAATTATAAACGAGTATTTTTTTGTGAAATTATCAAAAAAGGTATTATAATGAAAAATATCACTAACAAATAATATATATGTAATTTTCTTTCA